CAAAATCTGCCTACAAGAAAATCTGTCACCAAAGTATACCAATATGTATATATATATTTCATTATTAATATGTGGGCACACATCTATTTTTCCAAATTGATTTTGTTAAAATTTGGAATTAGTTTGATAATCAGTTTCTTATGAACTGTTACTCTATCTGTATTATTTTGCATTTTTTTCCATCAATATTCACTTTTAATGCTATAGAGTAATGATCTGTTATTGGTATCTTTGGAATTGCTATGCATAGATTTTGTTTTCTACTTTATCAGACAAATACATGATCTAAACGGGGAATTAATTGGTTTGCCTCCAATTGTTAATTTATATATGATTCAATATCTACAGTAATATAACAATTAATATCCATCTATCTGTTATCAATTTGCTGAATTTTTATTCATATCTCAGTCAAAATTAATATGTCTACTTTATTTCCAGTTTATACATTATCAATTGATTCTGTTTTGTTTCCATTTTATATGTATGTCAACAAACTTGTGTAACATACATTAACTAGTTATTTATAGTATTGTTACAAGTTTTTTTTTCTGTATTGTAGAGTAAAAGCCAACTTTCTGCCATGTTCTCCAGTTATTCCAAGAGTTCTTGTTCCAACCTGGTCAAGAGTTCCTCTGGGCATACTAAATGCTCCATTGACCCAAGAAATTTCAACTACACTGAAACAGGAGAAGCTAAAGCTGCTGGATTTCTAAATAACCAAGTTAAAAAAATCAGTCCTCCACCTAAATGGTATGTCATTGACGTTGGTTAAGTTGTTAAAAAGTTCCTTATTAGCAGTTGCCAGTGGGTTAACCCTATAAGTCAATTAGTTAAGGTACTCGACTATGGTGTGAGAGGTCTCAGGTTTAGCTCAGTCAGTTGAGCACTTGACTAGTGTGAGAGAGGTCTCGGGTTTAGCTCGGTTGTTTGAATACTCAACTAGTGTGTACGAGAGGTCTCAGGGTCAGCTCAGTCAGTTGAGCACTCCACTATTGTGTGAGAGGTCTCAGGTTCAGCTCAGTCAGTTGAGCACTTGACTAGTGTGAGAGAGGTCTCAGGTTTAGCTCGGTTGTTTGAATACTCAACTAGTGTGTACGAGAGGTCTCAGGTTCAGCTCAGTCAGTTGAGCACTCCACTATTGTGTGAGAGAGGTCTCAGGTTTAGCTCGGTTGTTTGAATACTCAACTAGTGTGTACGAGAGGTCTCAGGTTCAGCTCAGTCAGTTGAGCACTCCACTATTGTGTGAGAGAGGTCTCAGGTTTAGCTCGGTTGTTTGAATACTCAACTAGTGTGTACGAGAGGTCTCAGGTTCAATATTGAATGAAAGAAACTACAAAAGATAAGCTGCCACAATAAAAACTGGTACCAACCTAATGGTCATCCTGAGGTGAGACTTAAAGTTAAATTTCTACAAGAAAAACTGTAACCCAGCTTGTGGTCATTGTTAGTTGAGACCTAAGGACTGTTTGTGGGTTATTTTTTCTGTGGTAACCCTATTTCTGCACTTGTGGTGGAAAGGATTACACCTACCATCTGAGCTAGTTAACTTTCTCTGCACGGGCTTCCTTTACTGCACATGTCATGAGGTTTTTAGTGACTTACATTCAAAATTTAATTAACCTTCTTTTTATTTATGTTACACCAATTAGTATAGCATAAAATTGTAGCTAATAATGCATATTTTATTAGTATATAAGTTACAAGTTCTTAATTTTATAAGACAATATTAAGAAAAATCCTGAATTTTCCCTAGTGTGAGAAATGTGAAATTTTTTCTCTAGCCATCCCCTCTTCTGTATTTTATTTACCACCCCTCCAGTAAGTACGAAATTTAATATACATTCCTCACTATAAAATCTTCATTCCTCAGACAAACTATAATTTTTGTAGCCTTCAAATCAGACTCCTATTGCTACACCCACCTGTCACATCCCCTCTTTGGGATTTGTTAATAGTTCTCTCTTATGTTTAATACTATATTAGTTATAAAGGTTTTAATCTATCAAATGATGTATTAAGTTGTATTCTGAATGGAGAATTGTCAATTTCTCTTTTAGTACAAGCTTTGTTCTCACGATAAATGTATCGACCAGCTTGGATGTATTTCTAACAGCTCTTGTTGCATAATTAGAAAGCCAGAAAAACTGTGATAGTTATGGGGCATTGTCTTCTTTTTGTATATTATTATTCTATGTTCTTTGGTGCATTATTTAATTAAATAAAAATTATTTAGTGTATTACTACCATTAGTATATATAGTAGGGTTATGTGTTATCGATAGTTGACAGCAAAAAAAAGACCTAGATAAGCACTTTATTCCTTATTTTTCATGTTTATTCTTTATTTATTATTACAGAGGTAATTAAAATGTAAAAATAGGACTCTCTCTTTAGGTTAGTTAAAGTTATATTAGGTAAAGTAAATGATGATAATATAATAAAAATCTTTCATGAGGCATGTACGTGAGCAGCTCGTGGGTAATAATTCAATAGCACAACATGAGCTTCATGTGATTTACAACTTATATTGGTGTGAATAGTAGTTACATCTGGTTCAAATGGTTTTATACTATTATGAGTTTAAAGCTATTATTATTATTATAATAACTATTATCACAACTATTATTATGAGTTAGGATAAACAAATGTAGTTTTATGTTATGATTTGAAGCCATTGAAGAAAGAAAATGGTAGTTTAGATCTTTTTTTTTTTTTTTTTGTTGGTGGTTATGAGGCTATTCAAATTGATCAGCCTTGTATAGAGTTAGGGCTGAGAAAATAACAGATAAAATATAGTTTTACTGAAAACAAACATTTGAAATGTATTTAAGAGGTTGTAGAGATTACACAAATGAAGTTTGAGATTTTTGAGATGAAGAAAAGTATTAGGTCATCAAGAAATTAATGTCGCTTTTTTTTTAAATGAAAAAACCCGGACAACTTATATTTATCAAAACAAAACATTTAT